ATTGTTGGTCATTGCCGTTATTTCTGTTGGTCTTCTATATTGGAAACGAAAAGTAATAAAAGAATGGTTTGATCATAAAAAAGGTTCTATTTCAAAGTAAGTGAAAACTTTAAATATTTCCAGAGTTGATTGAAAATCTATCTGCTTTCAGAATTCCATCAACATCGTAAGAATAATATTTCTGAGAAAACATATTTTACATTATCTAACGAAACTTTTTTTTTAGTGTAGAAAAGACTTATGTTCCTACGCCTTATATTATCACGCCAAAGAAGTCAGTTAGTTGATTTTTCTTTATAACTGAAAAAATAACTTACTTTTTTGTTTGTTCTTTTTCAGTCCGAAACCGTTGATATCTTTTATTAATTTAAAATCTGAAGATGAAACAAATGCTCTTAATGAATATGATGTTGGTAACAAACATAAAACTGGAAACTAAATCTAACAACTACATAGTCTTTTTAGGAATTAAATAAACGATCGTTAAAAATAAACTCAAATGATAGTATTGATGCTCGTGGACTATGTTTGTACAATTATGACAAAAACAAAAATTCCATTAAAAACGAATAAAATATTTTTAATTTTAGGGAATCGAACTGCAGTTTATCTTGCTGATCCAAATCGAGCACATGATTATATAAATGCAAATAAAATTAAAGTAGGATTAATCATAGAAGACTCTTCTGTCAGAGATCTATTACTGAAACTACAAGTCCGATTTGTATCAGATTCTCAACAAATGTTCACCACCATAGGGGTGGGACAGTTTCAGTTCAGTTCTTGTTGAACGCGAACTGCTTACCGGTTCTTTTCAAAAACTTAAAATTGAAATAAAACCGGTGAACCTATTGACACTGAGTTTGTGTAGTGCGCCAGAGGTCGACGGTGTGTTTAGTTGACTAAACCAAGTCAATATAACTAGCTACAGCGGTTTTATTTTATACTTGCAAAGAACTGGTAATCAGTTCTCGTTCAACAGGAACTGAACTACTACCCATCCCAAAATATAATGCACTCGGTTGTTTTTAGAATAGCTCAAAAACAATAAAAGATAGAGACATGTGATTTGAGCAATCGAAAGACGACAGTTTAAGCTAAAAGTTTTAAGCGACCGTTAAATAAAATTAAAGTAGGATTAAGCATAAGACTCTACTGTCAGAAATCTATTGTTGAAACTGCAAGTCTGATTTGTATCAGATTTTCAACAAATGTTCACCCTGTCAAAGTGTACTGACAAAACGTTTTTTCGACTGCATCTATTTCCAGATGCGAGATGGCACCAGAACAGTGATTGGAATGAGGCAGTTAAGATTTCATTCAGGCTAGTCATTACACAGCGGGAGATGATTCTGTTTCGTAGAAAAAGTCTATTTTTCTGACAGTGAAGAGCTAAATGTTTGTTCGTGACTAATGCAAAACATTTTTTCCCTCAAAACTCTAAAAACTTCTCTCAGATTTTTCGTAGACCCTTTTTTTAGAATTTTTAGATTCTTATTAAAACTGTCACGAATTTTAATTAAAACATTACCCGAAACTATAATTTCAACCTGAAATGTTTAATCGTCAGAACAGTATCATTGAAAGCGTTTTTGATTTCACCATTTTAATGAAATACTAGAATTTCAGAAAAATGCAGTTTATTTTTTATTTTTAGAAAACGTCTTGAAAAGCCGTTAAAACAGTATAAATTCTAAGAGCAGACGCATTGGATTATTCATCCATGTACTTAGATCAGTCATCGACGTTTTAGGAAAATGTCTATATTACTGACAGTGAATAGTCTTCGTCTTCTTATTGATATTTGTGATGATAATTATTAACAAACCTGTTCTTTATTCGACAGGGTTATTATAGCGATGAACAATATATAGCTTGTCAAGGTCCATTACCCGAAACATTTGAAGATTTTTGGTCAATGATCTTACAATACAAAGTATCAAAAATAATTATGTTAACAAAATTTGAGGAACAGACAAGCAATGGTCAGTATATTGTAAGTCATTGTATAATTGTTTTATGTTATTTATAAAGAAGAAATTTCTAAACAAATAGGACAAGTGTGGTCATTATTTTCCGATTGAAAAGTCTTGTGAAACTTATGGTCGTATCAAGGTAGAAGTTTTAGAAGTTCAACGCGAGCCAGAACTAGAGATAAGATATTTACAAGTAATAGGTGATGTGAGTAAAATCTTTTCTTTGTTTGAAAAACATTTATAGAAAAAGTTTTGTTTTTTTTTGTTCCTCAAGAATAATCACACACAACATGTCACACATTATTTTTTCACCGGTTGGCCAGATCGTGGTGTAGTTGAATGTCGGCAACTAGTCGATCTTATACAAATGATCAATAAAAATACATTGAGAAAAAAATATAAAAGACATAGCGAAAGTCCTATCGTCGTCCATGGCAGGTAATAGAATCAACTGTGCAAAGTCTAATATTTCGTTAGAGATATTGGCTATCAAATTTAGATCATTTAACGATGTTATTCGAGATCTTCATACAACTGTTAATTTTTAATTTGACCGTGTCCAGTCGCGTGAAGGTGTATGAAATGAGGGAAATAAGCATGGGGTCTAAAATATATGAAATCGTCTTATCTCACAACGGTCAAACGAAAAGATTACATAAATAAGGAAAATTTGCGAAAAAATCTTTTTCAGTTTAATTTAAAATAATCTAGCGGTACCGTCCAGAGCTGGGCAAACCAAGTTAAATTTGCCTCAGGTTCAACTGAGGGATGTCATAATCCCCATACCCTGAGGTATTCAACTTCGAACCTACAAATCCTACTGTATTCTGCTATTGAAGCATTGCCCCTTATGTCCTTTTTGTCCCCCATGAGGTATTTTGCGGTTAAGACATTGTTCCTTCTGTCCTTTTTGTCCCGTATGAGGTGTGTTGCGGTTGTGATATTGATACACCGACATTTCCGCGAAGACTTGTTTATTGGAAAAGAAGAAATACCATGTTTTCAAACCTTAGTAAGGTTGTGTGGTGAACAGTCATTGTGTGATACAGTTACAGATATCCAGCTTCGCATCATGAAAATGTGTTTTGTGTGAAACTACTTTTCGAGCTCACTGTCATACTGCCCACACCTCCACCTCCTGTGGCACACTGCCCAAAATACCCAATTGTGTACTATGAAAAGTTTGTGGAAGAGTCGGTCGTGAACCTGTTGGCGGAAATGTTGTGCCACGGATTCTGCACTGCTATAAAAATCCTGACTATATACAAACCAATGCTTATAAATAGTGAGCTTGAGTTTATCGTGTACCGAAGAGAAAATCGGTCAAACACGATAAGCCATGAAACTGGATATCTGTAACTGTATCACATAATAACTATTAACCACATAACTTCACACAAGTTTGAAAACGAGGTATACAAAACCAGGCTCATTTATTCTTCCTTCCAAATAAACAAGTCCTCGTGGAAATGTCGTATCACGAAGATATTGTCCGTTATATCCTTTCTGAGGTATTTTGCTGTTGAGACCTTGTCCGGTACGTCACTGACGGGGCATTTTGCCCCTTAAAGTATTTTCTCTGCGGCATAGTGGGAAAAAGTAAGCAACGCAATCTTGATGCCACGCTCTCCAGTCGCTTCTTGCTGAACACTATACGTGGATGTTATGAGATAGATGCAAAACAAAAGTCGTGTTCGATACGATCTATAGACGTATGAATTTGATTTTACCTATAGCTTTCATCTTTGTTCTGTGTGGATTTTTCCATACTTAGAGTTATTGTTTCTTAGGAATGGCATGTGTGAGATGTTGTCTACGTACTCACTCTCATTTTCACTGCACCTCTCCCGCCCCAAGGCGTGTTCATGGATTATTGTCCGTAGTCCTTTTCTTTCGTTATTCTAGTAGAAGATATTCTAGAAGTATTCAGCTTTACAAAACCTTTTCTTACAGGTTACAAGGGTTATAATCAAAGGACAAAAGGGACAATGTCTGAACAGCAAAACACCTCATAACGGACAAAAGGACATTAGGGACAATACATCCAAAGGCGAATATCTCATATTCCTATGTTCGAGGTATGAATACCTCAGGGTATGGGGATTATGACATCTTTGGTCCAACTCAAGTGAAGTCTAACTTGACCTGGACGAAAAATGTTTTAGTGTAACCGAACTTGACTTGAGAGACTTTTTTTGTAACCGTGACTGGACTTGAAACTTTTTCAAATCAAGTCATTTTTAGTAAGAGACTTTCGTTTAAATTAATCCTTTTTTAGCATGAATCAGAGTTTCTGAAATTATAAAAACTACCTCTCACCCAAAAATGGCGTTACAAAATTTTATGTTCTTCCCAATTTTTAATCAGACTTGACTTGACTCGCTGGAAAACATTTTCTCACCTCGACTTGGCTTAACAATCTTTTTAGAGATTTGACTTACAAAACCTCTCTCTTATTCAGCTCTGGTACCGAAATGGTAAAAATCTCTTTTGCAGGTGAAACGTTTATCTTGGTGAATGCGTTATATCTAGATCACTTGACAGAAATTCTCACCCAAAAATTAACGGTCATTCGCACCACAATTGATGTGGAAACGGACTGAAATGATAGAGGACGTCATAATCGATGTGAAGACCATTGTTAATATGGAGATATTGTGATAAATTTGCTTTTACATATTGCTTTCTTTGCTTTTCGTGATACAGAAATTTGGTACGGATGAGAAAAAGGATAAATTTACCACAGCGCAACCGGGAACACAGCGTCGAATTTCTTGCCAGTTGATGATCCTGGCTGGTCACGAATATAGTGTGAGTTTCTAAACTTTCATTGAGACTTTTTCAAGGGAAAGTCTTCGTCAAAAACTTATTCGGTAGTTGTAAAATTTTTCTCCAAGTCAAACTCGAATAGCTCTACAAACTGAATGACTGGAGAAATATTTTCTCCACATCAAGATACTTTTAGATCGGATTTCTTTCTTTTTATTAGAAAAGCACAGTTTTTTTAAGGCTTTGAGAAAAATTTTCAGAAACTCTGATAAATTCTAAATCATTATAAAAAAAATGCTTAATGAAGAAAGAATAATTTTTTGTTTCTTAAGTGCTGGTGTTGGTCGTACAGGAACTTATATAGCAGTTGAAACAATTCTACATTTGATTGATACTGCCGATGATAAGTTGTCAAATATGAGATTAGACATTATGGGTATTGTTTATCAGCTAAGATGTGATAGGACACGAATGGTACAAACTAAAGTAAGTTTAGCAAAATTAAAGTTTAACATTTTTCTAGAATACATACAAACATAAATTTTCATTTTGTACTAGGAACAATATTTATTAATTCATCGATGTGTTGAAGAATATTTAACTAGAACAAATCGAATAAATTCATGTATGTATAAAATTATTATAAAAACTGATTTTATTATTTTGAAATTTTTTATCATCATTTTATACGTTGAATAAATATTCTCTCCGTTAATCGTGCACTTTGTTAAACTCCTTTGCTTTTTTAGTAGAAAGACCACCTTCTGTCTATGAAAATAACAATTATATTAATAATGATAATTCAGTATATCAAAATATTGACCATCAGTATCAAGTTCCAACAACTATTAATCCAGTATATACAAATCTCGATGATAAGACAACAAGAAATTCGCATCTTCGTGGAAAGATAATGAACTCATTTCATGACGAACAACAATTCTCAAATATCAATAATAATCTCAGATCATCAACGCTCACCAATGATAAAAATGATCTCAACTACCAATAGCATCAAAACAACTGTCAGCCAAATCAAAATAGTTCAGTAACCTAGTCAATTAGAATATCACCTTTGGATAGAACTATTCGAAAAATATATGTCAACCTTCGCTTTCAAAACTGTGATATTTGTTTTTATTTTTGGTTTTTTGATGTGTTCGTTTAAGAGACCCCTCCCCTGTCAGAAAAGTCGATTTTGAGATTTATATATAGTTAGATAGCACAACGTGTTTCCTTTCAGAATTTATATCACTTTCTGCTTCAGTGATAAAGCTTCATGGTTTTAGGAGAAATTTTTGACAAGCCTCAAAAAAGATATATTCAGATTTCAGTTTTTTCCACGATACTTAAGCAATAAAATTGTTTTCCAAACGTGTACATTTGTAGACCAACCTAGTCAAATATATATTATAGTCAAAATGAGCAATAGCACAATTTCATGTGATCTTTTAACAAAAAGTTACTAGCATTTTCCTATAAGTACGAAAGTGCACTAACAAATGCATAACGTTTTCTTCAGACTCGTTTTGTTGAAAGACTGATGGTGCCATTTCTCACATTTTTTCCTCTATTTTAGTTGCTAAACAACTCGGGTTGATTCTTGGATGATAATAAGACTTGTGGTTATAACCTAACCAAGTCAAGTTTGTGAAAATTAAATAATATTTTTTATTTGCATGATTTATGATAAAAATTAAAATGAAATGAAATTTGCTCATCTGTAACTTAGCTAAAAGATAAAGCGAAGTCATAGCTACAAAACGGCTAATTCAGTTTTTCTTACTTTTCAATTAACCCAAGAAATCGTTTTTGACTTTAGAAAGCTTCATTTTATTCGTCTTTCGTATAATTCTTCGTAAGTTTTCTCGAGTGAAGTTCTGAAATTAAAGTTTAAGCATGGTTCTGTACAGTATATGGCGGCGCATCTTTTAAAAAAAGCACTAACCTTAGAGTCCTAAAGAAACACAAGAAAAATATATATTTTTGTTGGACCTTCGCCGTTTTCAGATTTAGAAAGTACGAGTTTTTGAAGATCATTGCTTTTGATTTTATAAAAAATGTATCTGAAATAAATACACAGCATTTATATATCATTTTGTAGAGAATTTGACGTGGCATCTTTTGGGAAAACGATCAGGTCTAAGGATTGAGAAGGAAAAAAGTTATAAGTAAAATACTAAGTATGCCATTCATTATGCGCCACCCGGTACAATCTATCGGAAGAGATAACGAAGTAAACTGAACAAATTAGTAACAATTTCAAAAATTGAAATGCTCAAACATTAGATGGCAAAGGGCACTTCTGAATATCTGTGTAGCAACTAATCGTAATAAAAGTATGTTCAGTTTGGAAATAAACAAGAGCCCGAAGAGTAGTTAGTCATTCTAAAATTCCTGTTGTTACTTAACACATTGAGAAGAATTGATTTAAGTCAAATTACTGTCTCAAATTTTCGTTCCATAAGAGCAAACGAGAAAGAGAGAGAATTAGAAGGTAAACATGTATTCAGTTATTTTCCATCGATGTCGTTTTGCTCTTGTTCTTAAAAGTTTGTTGAAAACGACTTCTGTTATTATCAACTAATAATTTATGTCTACAATCTTCAACAATAAGATGGGGTTGCACGTAAAATAAATCCCAGTTCAGATAAATATTTACAAACATAATCATATGATTTGTTTGAAAATGATAACCACAAATGAACCTTGTTAGGTTTGCGTTTAAAAACTGCACACGACTCACGAGGGAACCTCCCCAGGTTGCAAATCGCTTTCG